ACCATACATACCTACCATACATACCTACCATACATACCTACCATACATTCCATACATACATACATTCCATACATACATACATTACATACATACATACATTACATACCATACATACATACCATACATACATACCATACATACATACCATACATACATACCATACATACATACCATACATACATACCATACATACATACCATACATACATACATACATACATACATACATACATACATACATTACATACATACATACATTACATACATACATACATTACATACATACATACATTACATACATACATACATACATACATATATACATATATGTATGTGCATATATATATATATGTGTGTGTGTGCGTAATATATGTGCGCAGTGTATCGCCTTACCTTACAATACTTCCGAACCCATGGCCCCATCTCCAGCTCCGCGCTCCGGGCTCCAAGGCACTTCCTCGTTGACCTCGCCGTCCCCGTCGCGGTCCGCCTCGTCGATCATCTCCTGGAGCTCCTCGTCGGTCATGCGTTCGCCCAGCTCCTTGGCCACGCGCTTCAGGTTTTTGAAGCTGATCTTCCCCGTTTCCTGAAAGGCCGGGAAAATGTGGGAGATTCTGGAAGTTTCTGGAAAGCACATGAATGTGTATCTGTCTGTCTGTCTGTCTGTCTATCTATCTATCTATCTATCTCTCTCTCTCTCTCTATGTATGTATATATTTAGGAATCCCCAATCCCAAGAAAAAAATGGAAAAGTAAATCAACTCTCTTTTGACCTTTTTGGGATTACTATGTGTATGTACTGTATGTATGTGTGGGTGGCTGGGATATAATACAAATATGGGATATACAAGTGTGTGTGTATATATATATATGTGTGTGTGTGCATATGTGTGCGTGTGTGTTTCTACTTATCACTTATATAATATATCTACTTATCTATTTGTTTACAAATTATTTTACAATGATACACATTGCAGTAGCCAACCTGGGATCGGAGATGTGGCGGTGGAGGGTTGGGCTGCCTCCAAGGCTCATCATCATCAAAAAGGCGGAAAGCCTTCAGGATTTCCTTAGGAGGTTAGGGCGCCTTTCTACAGCGAGGTCACCATGCCCTTGCCATTACTGGGGGCCAAGATGAACACACGAAATCCAAAAGATAGACAATCGCATCATCATTTAAATGGGTGGTATTTAAAAAAAAGGAAAAACGAAATCAAAAAAAAATGCCTCTAGTGAACAGTTTGGGATCATTCTTTACCCATCTCCAGCCACATTCTGTGCACAATTCGAGGGCAAGCACAAGCGAACAGCTCTAGGGATTCTGCGCATTCTCGGGTACCAAAGGATGGAAGGCTGAAATGGGCAACATCTACCATGTTTGACCCCAAACTTGCAAAATTTGCTGAACAGGAATTTCATGAAATTCATAGCGGATGCCTTCACAACCAAAAAATAACAACTTATCGTTCAATCAAACATGGTCCCAAACTTATATACAATTATTGAACGACCCACAAAAACGTGCAAAAACTGGCAACCGGCAACCATGGTTTCTTCTGGTGTCAGAGGTGTCAGAACTCCAACCGTCTCAGAGGCAGGCCAGCACATGCCAGCACAACGCCAAGGCTCGTCCTTTGGATCGCGGTTCAGGATTTTGTGGGTCATCATCTTCAGGAACTCCTCATAGCCAATGGTGCCGGAACCATCGTCATCCACATCCTGAAAAAGCGGTCACTGCTTTGAGGTGCCGAAGAAAGCGGCCGCGGTCCATCGGCGGTCCGGTAAATTGATGTGTACCCTCTGGTTATGACTAACATAGCTATGGAAAATCACTATTACTATTTTTTATGGGTAAATCCACTATAAATGGCCATTTTCAATAGCTATGTTAAATTACCAGAGGGTACTATTGTAATGAATTATGCCCATGCCATTTTTCAACAAAATTCTGAATATGTTCCGTGCCGCGCCTTCCGAAAAAACATCAAGAAACTTGCCTCTGTAGAAAAAAAACGCTACCATACCCAACCCCATTCCCACTGTCCCTGAAGCACTCCACTTCCACAAAAATTGAGCTTGACATCAACGCCAACATCAAGCAATCTCCCCAAAAATCATCTGCATCCACCTGGAGCCGGGGCACAGAAATCATCTTCTGGATCTCTTCCTTCTTGGGCTCGAAGCCGAGGGCCCTCATGGCCACCTTCAACTCCTTGGAATCGATCTCACCTGAAAGGCTGGGCTTATGAGGTCTCATCATCATGTTCCCTTTGAAAATAGCCATTTAAATGGGGAAACCCAAGTGGCACGGAGAACAATGAAAAATTGAGAGCAGCTAGATGCCCCCCAAAGCTACATACTGATGCCGCATTGCCCCTGACGCCCCAGGTGATGCACTGCTTTCCCAAACTGTTTCCGGCCTGAGCCATCCGTGTCGAAGAGATCAAATGCTTCTTTGATCTCCTGATTTTGAGGGAAAGGCGCCATCTCGGGTGTAGAAAACCTGGAAAACCTGCGATCGTGTATGCGAAGTATCCCCAAAAAAAAATCAACCCCCAGAATCCATCCAAATCCACCAATGCAACAGAAGGTATACCAGAAAACGGGCCACTTTGTTGCCCCCTGGTTGTTGAACATACATACTAAGGGTGGACCTGATGGCAAAGAATCATGGGACTGGTCACCAGGGATCTCACGCTGGAGGATGGAAGTATCGGAATGCAAGATCAAAACTCTCACGCCGTCTTTGCATCTCGTAAATTCACGGAATAGAATCTTGGGCACATTCATTATACACCCATTTGTGAAGGAATTTTGACCCATCTTCATGGATACCAACGGCTTGTAAATGACTTGACTTTAGGATGCTTTACACTCCAAACCCCAGCAGTTTCTACCGGACTCACTTCACTCCCGGGTCACTAGTGGATGTGGATCCAGCCAGCATCACCAATCTTGGATGATCTGGTCCCCCATCTTAGGAATTCCCAAACTTACTCAGGCAAAGTGAGCTCCCAAAAAAGGATCAAACAAGCAATCCGTGCTCCTATTTCAGCAGGATGTCATGTTGCTCCATCTCTTTGGGGGTTGATCCACTATTGTGTTTGCCACATCCCATTATCATCAATGATCAACCACTATTAAGCCACGATTACCATTGATTATCCCATTAAATCTCCATTTTCCCTGCAGATCTCCTGCTTCTGTTCATCTGTCAGCTCCTTCTGCTTCTTGCCACCGGCGTTGAAGCGACGCAAAGCCATGGCGTTTTTCGGTGGCTGATGCGACGCAAAGGCAGGGCACGGCGTTGGAGCAGATGCTGCTGCGGCTGCTGCGGGATGGGTGAAGCAATGGATCGGAAACCATGGCTTTTACCAATAGATACCCTCTGGTAAACTAACATAACTATGGAAAGTCACCATTTTGTAATGGGAAAACTCACTATAAATGGCCATTTTCAATAGCTATGTTAAATTGCCAGAGGGTATGAGATGATATGAGGCTTTCCTGCAAGTTTCCCTGAACCACCAATTCTGGGACACTTTTCAGTATTGTGGTAAACCCAATGGTAAGCCATCCCCACAAATGACTTTACAAAAATGGGCTATCCAAACCATCCCAACTCGAGCTTTGTAGCAGTTTATGGCGGTTGGTTTGCCAAATTAGGAAGTAAAATGTCAGAAGGATGTATCACTTTAGAAGATTTAGTGTTAGTAGGGGGATACCCTGTGTTGTGTTCAACGGACCTCAACTTCACGCCACATTCTTCAAAGTGTGCAGAACCTTTGGCCCTTCCTTTGTAGAAATTTCCTCTATAAACCATCACCCTGTGGGAAGATCAAGCAGTGTGCAACCACCAAAAAGTGATGTTTGACAGCTTGACTTCGAAAAAAATGGAGAATACAATGCATATTAGTCAAATATGTTGAAAAGAAAGAGATAGAGAGAGAGAGAGAGAGAAAAAAAAAAGAGAGAGAGAGAGAGTGAGATGGATGTACATATTCCATATATATATATATACATATGTGTATACATCTACATATTTTTAGTATTCAAAACCATTTTGATCCACTTTTGACCCATCACCCTGTCCCTCTCTTCGCGTTCGCCCAGCGTCGCGTCGCTGGGCGCCAGGTTGCCGCTGACCAGCACCAGCAGCTGCGGCGCTGCCAAGATCTCGTCCAGCATGGCTTGGTGCTCCGTCAGGCTGACGGCCCACACCTGCGGCCGTAGAAACGTTGGTCAAGGCGTTACCCTCTGGTAAACTAACATAACTATGGAAAATCACCATTTATAGTGAATTTCCCATGAAAAATTGTGATTTTCCATAGTTATGTTAAATTACCAGAGGGTAAAGGGGCTGGGGACATCCCTAAAAACCAAAACACCCCCATGATATGGTCCTAAAATGTCCCAAATCAATGGTTTCATCCCCCAAAACCCTGGTTTCTGGGGGTGTTTTTTTTCGGGCTGAAGCTGTGGCGCCAAGCCGCATCCTGCACAGCCTGCAGCATGGCCTTGCGGCTGTGCGTCTGAGTGACGCTGACCAGCTCCAAGGCTTCCAGGGCGTGCTGATACCTCAATGGCTGAGGGGCCACCAGATAGCATCATCCAACACGGTGAACGAGAGCATATATGAATGATACATTTCTTAAAAGAAACAAGTTGCTTAAAATTTTAAGTGTATATAGATCCAGTCAATCTCGCCCTCAATGTATCTTCATGTCAATTGCACGGTTTTGAGAAAAGGGGGCCAACAAGGAATGTTCACTGGGATTATTTCATTGAACAGGTAAGAAAGTGATCTATCAAAACTAGTAACTAGCAATAACTTGTGTTCCCTTCGCCCTTCCCCCCAAAAAAAAAACAACCAGGTGCCACATGCCTTACCCAAGCCCCACCAGCAATTCCCGTCCAAGTAGCGGCTGCTGACTGGTGACATCCTGCAGCTCCAGCATCATCTGCCGGCGAATCATTTCGAAGTCGCTGCTCTTCACCTGGCGGAGAGGCGACATTGGGCCGTTGGGCCGTGGCTATGACTGGTAGAATGAAGATCAATAAAAACCAATGAAGCATCATAGAGTGAAGACGAGTGAAGTGTTGCGATCTTCGAACTCCTAAGAAAAAACATGAAAAACAGGAAATCATGTAAATCTCCCTTTTCAAGCAAGGGCTGGGAAGAAAATTGCCGCGGCCTGCGGTTCCCGGAGCTTGGGCAGCACCAGCTGCTGCAGCTGCGCGAGGTGTTCGTTGAAGCCGCTGAAGGAGACGCTGAGACCGTCGGATGCCTCGTCGTTGCCATGTCTTGGGAGACCACAAAAGAAACCACTGGTTTCCACATGTTTCAACATGTGTTTTAACCATTTATCACCATGGTAATTGTTACATAATGTCTTCAAAATCCTGTTTCAACATGTGTTTTAACCATTTTTCACCATGGTAATTGTGACATAATGTCTTCAAAATCCTGTTTCAACATGTGTTTTAACCATTTTTCACCATGGTAATTGTGACATAATGTCTTTGAAATCCTGTTTCAACATGTGTTTTAACCATTTTTCACCGTGGTAATTGTGACATAATGTCTTCAAAATCCTGTTTCAACATGTGTTTTAACCATTTTTCACCATGGTAATTGTGACATAACGTCTTCAAAATCCTGTTTCAACATGTGTTTTAACATTTTTTCACCGTGGTAATTGTTACATAACGTCTTCAACATGTGTTTTAACCATTTTTCACCATGGTAATTGTCACATAACGTCTTCAAAATCCTGTTTCGGCATGCGTTTTAACCATGATAACTGTCACATAACGTAGCCAAAATCGTGCAAAAGCAGGGAAACCGATGATGATGATGATGATGATGATGATGACGATGATGACGATGATGACGATAATGACGACAATGACGATGAGGATGATGATGATGATGACGATGACAATGGTGATGACGATGACGATGACGATGACGATGACGATGACGATGACGATGACGATGGTGATGGTGATGATGATGATGAGGAGGAGGAGGAGGATGATGACGATGACGATGACGATGACGATGACGATGACGATGACGATGACGATGACGATGACGATGACGATGGCGATGGCGATGGGGATGGGGATGGGGATGGTGATTGTGATGGTGGTGATGATGATGATGATGGTGGTGGTGGTGGTGATGATGATGATGGTGGTGATGATGATGAGGAGGAGGAGGAGCAGGATGATGGTGATGATGATGATGATGATGATGACGATGACGATGACGATGACGATGACGATGATGACGACGATAATGATGATGACGACGATGATGACGATGATGACGATGATGGCGATGATGGCGATGACGATGACGATGGAGATGGCGATGATGACGGCGGCGGCGACGACGACGACGAAGACGACGACGACGACGACGACGAAGACGACGACGACGACGACGATGATGATGATGATGATCATGATGATGATGATGATGATGGCCGGTGTCGGATGTAAAAAAAGAAAAAACTGAACACTATGACTTATACAAAAGGATTGAAACAAACAAAACTGCTGTACTTTATGGGGCAATAATGTGGGAGGCCCAACAACCCAGAAACCATCCCCAATGACTTGCTAGAAAATGGATTGTACCATCCCCAAGTGGCTAGAGACAAGTTTGCTTGGAGCTCTTGATCCCAGATGGTGTCAAGGTTCCCGACCCCTGTACTTTCCAGGCAACCCACCAGCACCAAGCCACACTGGCCACGCTGTAGCTGATCCCACACATCTGGAAGGCATCGGAAGGTTCCTCCAGGACCTAGGCGATCTACCATGGTCCAGAAGATTTGTGACTGCAAAAACCTGGGGCATGGGGCACGCCAAAATGCCTAGTTCCCCAGTTTCCCCACACAAAATTGCTGGGTGTGCCCACATGTCTGGAGAAGCCCAAAGCTAAGAATTGGTCTTGCAGCTAGGCAGCTAGGTTGAAGATGGTTCTGACACGAGGTTGCAGTTAATGGGCCATCTGTGGCAACAAACAACACTCTAAGCCTCACCCCACTTCCTGAATTCATGTCAGGCGGCCAGGTTCACCAACCTCGCATGCATCGCACTCAACACCGCACGCGCAGGGCTGGCAAGCACTGAGCGCGGATGCTTCACTTTGATTTGCACTTGCGCCTTGGGTGGGGAGCGCTCCACAGGCTGGAAACTCAGCACCATGTCAGCCAGTGCAACCACTGCATTTCCCGGATCCTTTCGTGAAAACCAAGACAGACATAACCTCCAACATCGGATTGAAAGGCACAACATGGGCCAGCAAGTCATCTGAACTCGAACAGCTTCCCATGATACGATGGCCTTGGGAATTTGGAAGCCACCAAGACCCAACCACCAAAGCTGCAGCGAGGACGTGTCCTACGAGTCGACCAATTTTTCGGTGACCCCGGTGACAGCCCACCAGGGGGGATGGTGAAGGAGCCTTTCCCTTTTTGTAAGACGTTTTACTTGTTTTACATGGTTTGCTATTCTTTAAAAAGGACAAATGACACATTTGAATGCCAAGAAACCACGCATGCTTTTGATGTTTATTCAGTTTACTATATGGCATTGGACATGCAAATAGCTGGTGAAGAAAGTCTGTAACCCGGGCTCCTGCCGAACTGCTGCAAAAGACCACCAAAGCAGTTGGGAAAATGGAATCGATCCCTGGGGAAAAACACAAACGTGCAGCCAAGTCATTGCTTTCCAAGAAAACCTGTTGTCTAATCATACTCACAGATTTTCGAAGTTGGAAGCCACTCCTGAATCTTCTTCGGGCGGATCTGAGGTTTGTCTTCCTGCAGCTGAAACTGCTGAGCTGTCCAAAAGTCAAACGCACAACGAACCACAATCTTCCACGTTTAATATATTAATCTCAATGTATCTTTAAATATATGCATATATGTACACCATTGGAAATATAATATGCATATATATATATACAGAGTTATGTGCATATGTGCACCCAGTGATGAGTGATGCTTCCATATCTAATATAATCCACGTTTACTTTTGATGGCTCTGGAATTCATCAAATTTGCCCCACTTGGCATGGCTTGCCTCTGAAGAAGCTTCGAGCGAAAGATTTGAAAGATTGCTGTCTTATGTCCGAAATTGAAGAGTTTCTCTCGAAACATGTTTCGAGAATTTCCACAGCACCTGTGCACAACACAAGCTTTGGATTATGTCCAAGAATGTCCCCAGCACGAAGGAGTTATGTCAACGAACTATCTGGAACCAGCGAACAAGTGGCCCAAAAGCCTTTCCATAATATAGTTTCATCATCCCAACATGATCAATCCGCTTTCAAAAAGAAAACTATAGAAAACATGTTTCGGTCGAATCACCCCCAACATTCACAGAGAAAGAACCCTACCTATGATATAGGCGTTCCGTTCGCCAAAATGGGGGTTCATGCCTGTATTTTCAAGAGAAAGAGTGTTTTACGGTTTTGGGGTTGCCACACAGGTGTTTCTTGCAATTGGCACCCACCCTCGAATGAGGAATGCCGCCACATTGTTTGATCCGGGTCTTGCCCAAAAGTCATGAACATTGCAGAAGATGTTCACCTCTTTGTCATTCTCTTTGTTTCATTTTGTTTCCCATATTACACAGCACAGGACCACCAAGACATGTCACTGCGCGCATTACTCTACCCAACTGTCTCAAAAGCTAACTAATCTAACTAGGACCCATATAGCTCCCAAATTCACCTCCCAAATTCACCATGTGTTCATTTTTCATATAAAAACAGAGAGAGAAAGAGAGTGTGAGAGGAGAGAGAGAGAGAGGAGAGAGAGAGAGAGAGGACAAAAAACGTGTTCTACCATGTGATTGCACTCGTAGCTCCTTTGACTCCCCATTTGTTCGTTGCTCCGAACCGCTCCTTCCTACTTGAGCATCCCAGTGTGGTGAATAACCAATAAATTTCACAAAAACAACCCATATGAATTAACTGGGGTATGCTTCATACCCTCCGGTCATCAGCTCCATGGCTGGAAAATCTGGACCAGCAATACTTCGATGATTTTCCCTACGGAAACCTCCATTTTCAGATGTTCTCATGAGTTTCCCATCTTTTCCTACAAGTTTCGCATGATTTTCCTCCAATTTTCCTCAATTTTCCAAATGTTTCCCCTAATTTTCGCACCTGCAACGCACCCGCCGCAGTTTCCCGGGGCCTCAATCAGCTCCAGCCGCTGCGGCACGTACTGCGGCCGCGGCGGCACCCACAGCTCGGGCGACTCGGCGCTGGCCCAGCGGAGCAGCTGCGCCGCGGGCAGGGCCTCCTCAGTGTAGTTGAAGTCGTAGTACCTGGGGAAGTCATGAAGCACCCAAAGTTGGTCTATCATGGCATATGACAGATATATACCAACATGATATGTACACACATATAATATATATATATAGAAATAGATTAGATAGTGATAGTGATATTGCTGTTAATATTTATATATATATAATGATATAATGATATATAATGATGTAACTATGTGAATAGTATCTATATATATATACATGTGTGTGTGTGACTATGTGTGTGTGTGTAAAATGGATATAATGATATATATATATATAATGATGTAACTATATGAATAGTATATCTATATATATATGTGTGTGTGACTATGTGTGTGTGTGTAAAATGGATGCCACCAAAGACTTGGCATACATCGAAACCCATAATGGCATATATTCGATATGTAAGTGGGTGTATAATGGGATAGTTGGAGAATGCGATGATGGGACCATGATCTCCCCTAGTGATGGGTGTTATCTCCGAATCCTCCATTGGAACCCATCGACATCCATCAACATCCATCAACATCCATACCAAGGCCATCCTTCATCTGATATTCATCTTTTCAGCTTAGTTGCTTCTCATGTTTCTGTTCCGGGCCCTCCACCAAGTTATTTGTGACCAACGCCACGTTCATGTTCTGTGGATGAATCGCTTCCATGAGCTTCTGGGTCATCGAGACATTTACCGTGTCGATCAGGACACCCCCTGGCGAAGTGCCCCCTTCGAGAGATCCCAGACGTGTGTCCTTTTTATAGATGATGCTCCTGGAAAAAAAATGATGTGATTTCCCATGATTTCCCTTTGCCATGTTGGACCAAAGCTTTAGCTAGGGAATTAAATGGAATTACATAAGATACAGTAAGAAAGCTAATGATGTGTGACTCTTCAAAGAGCCCACAGGATCGAAACTGCAAATGCCAAGCACTCTCACCTTCCAGCTCATCATGGCTCCTAGAGAACATGCATAGACGAAAACACATGAAATAGGTAGCTGGTAGGTCTGGTAGGTATGTACCCCCATCAAATTGGCCTTTTCATCCAACCCTCTGCACCCATCCCCAAAGTCCCCACCTGTCAGCACGTCGCGAAACTGCACCTTGGGCAGAGACCCGGCCAGCGACGTCACAAAGCCCGAGTCCGAGCCCGAACGATCCTCGCGCGGAGCAGCGCCCGCCACCGAAGACCTACTTAGATGTTGCCAGAATTAGTTTGAAAGGTTAAATGGGGTATTTCCAAGTTGCATCCCAGTTATCAAATGTTAACATTGGGGTTATAACATGTATAATATCATGCGACGCCATGTGTCGGAGATTTACCCTCCCAAAAATGGCCCTGAAAATCGAGGAGAGCAACTGGCCAATCCGGAGCCCACATCCTGGTAATCGAACATCACTTGGTTCAAGGATTTCATGGTCCTGAGCGCAGCCGCTGATACCCTCTGGTATTTCAAGATAATTATGGAAAAACCATGAAAAAACACCCGTTTCAATAGGCAAATCATGAAACTAAACAGGCCATTTTCCGCAGCTATGTGACAAATGACCAGAAGGTATCGTTTAAAAAAGGGGACACATCGTGCTGCAAGAGTGGGACTGTTGCGGTTGAAATATGTTGAAATTTGCCAAGCGTCTGAATCAAAGCTTTGTCGACCCCGTTCTTTTTGATGGTATTGAAGTACCTTCGAATCAACCATGAGCCCGGGAGCCGAAGACAAAATAGACATGGTCTACAGTATTTAACCTCTTCCTCTTATAATCAATCTGCCATATCACAGAATTACTCATCCCAGAAAGAGGAGAACAAATATAAAATCTCCTCATGTAATCCCTATATATCCCTATCTCCCAGCCACATCAGCCACCTTACCTTCCAGGCGCACGCGAAGGTGTGCTCAATGATGCGATCCGATTCCTCCGCACCTTTCGGGGTCAAGGAGAAGATCAGGGTCAGCACGCTTCCCGCCTGCCATCGAGGCTGGTTGAGCCGGCTGGGCTCCCCAGGGTGGAAAAGCTATGAAATTATAAAATGTAAAGTCACCAAGTAGACATAGAAATGCAAAAAAAAGCCGTTTAATCGAACTTAACAGAATTCCCATGGTCTGCTTCATCTCAATTCTATCCCCATATCTTTGATGGTGAACATGGTGAACCACCCAAAAAAGGACATCCGAATCATATCGAAACCAGGACACAGGTGTGGTTTCCAGCATGGTGGAGTAGTGCAGCGCCAAGTCTTCACGCTTCAGCAGCGCCTTCAAACTACCTCGAGGAAAGCTGAAGTGCCAGGCGTGCTGTGGGATATGTGCGCCAAAAATTGAAGCTCAATCAGCGAAAGTTGTGGTTCAAGCAGCATAAACATGGAGTTGTTACAAACAAACGTGGAATTGAAACAAAAAAGACTGGAGATTCCTGTTTGCTGGTTTGCTGATACACTGTATATAGAGGGTTCGGTTTGGTACCTCCGACATCCTCCGACCAACTACTTGTGAGAAAGTGGGTGCCCCTCTACCAGACAACTAGGGTGCACGATCCGAGATCAAAATTCATGGGCCAAGCTCACTTGGATCATGTTCAGGAAATATCAGGCGATATTTCAAGTCAAATGTCAAACAAATACAACTATAAATAGATGTTATTGTGCCAAATTGCCGCTGGTGTAATCATTCAATGGTCTTGAAAACTTTGACCATGCAATGGTCCATTTGTTTGAGGTCAAGTTCAATCATGTCGATTTTAAAATGCCTAATGAAACAAACATCTTACAACTGGAGGGTTTTCGCCAATCGGATATCCCCACCCTTAAATCGCGGCACATCTCCAACCCTCAGCCCGCACACCTGGGCCGTAATGACTGAGCGCATAGTTGATGTAAGCCTCTGGCATGGTCTTATACCTCGCAACGCAGCAAAGTTGGCCAATTTCTGCGGCAAAAACGATGCATGATTTTGAGATTAATATAGAAATTTCAGCCATTGCCACCTCACTTCACCACTTGGCAGGGCGAGAATCAGTTATGATTATGTATCCCAATTTTTCTGGTGGCTGAGTGGCTTCAAGTGTCTCAAGATTCCGTCCCGGAAGCCAAGAAGCCCCAACTACTTTGTGTTTTAGGGTTGGGAAATTCCGTGATTCACCGGCGAAAAGAAATTCACATATAGTATTCAATTTTAAGTTGAACTATGTTGAACTTTGAACTTATCTGAATGAAGGCCGCTTGCTTCCGATGAAAACCGCCAAATTGTCATGGCACATTTCACATAGTTATCCAAATTCAAGTACCTTATGATGCTAATTTCTTCAGGAACATGAACGTCCCTAAAAAATCCTCAAAACGCTGCCGACTGCTTTCACCAAGCGTCTGGCCCTGCAAGGACATCATGGGGAACGTCAGCCAGAGTTGGGGTGAGCCATCAGTGTGCACCTTGAACTTCCTTCCCAAATTGTCCAGCTCATGGCTAAACCTCAGTGCCCATCCTGACACCAGACATGGTCCAATGGTCCCCCGCATCAAAAACTTCGATTTGCTGTAGGGGACCATCAGAAAATCTCTCCTCAGTCGATTTCCAAAAAGATGGGTTCACCCTTTTTTGCGCGTAGAAACAACATCAAATATTGGCAACCCTTTAGCACCTCCAGGTCCCAAAATCGCCACCTTCCCTGCCACGGCACATGGGGATGTCATCGTAGTAGGGCCGCGCCTCGCAGCCCTTGGACGACAACGATCCGAAGCTTCGTTCCGCAGCCGCCAGCTGCTGCTCGATGGAAGCATTGCGCATGATCCTTGGCGAAAAAGTTGATCGTATCTTGAACATAAATGAATATATATATATATAATTATATAGAGAGAGAGAGACAATGTTTTTTGCGTGCAAATTATTGTTGTTTCAATTATCAATAGATAGGTAGGTAGGTAGGTAGATGATGGTACATGGACGTACCATGTTTCAGGTACACTCGGCCGCATCCAGAGCCGGCGCGGCATCTTGGGCCAAGGTGCACCAAGTGCATGCGGGACGAACAGTAGTTCTCCTGGAAGGACATGGGATGGGTGGATGGGTCCGAGGCTGGCTGCCTATCATAGAGGTTAAACATGGTTAAACGGTTAAACCATGCTGAACCGACTTCAACTATCTTCATTTCAAGTTATGATACGCGTAGAAAAATGGTCATAACATTCTTACTAGTATAGATGCAAGTCAATTTATAGCATGCTTCTACTATGCTATAGTCAGTAGGTGCTTTTTAAATGCTATGAGGAACCAGCTCTTCAGCCTTTCCTGGTGGAACTTCTGCAAAGCTTCCGGCAAGCTCTTGCCAGCCTGGCCCAGCGGATGTTGATCCCCATCAAACGGTGAAACCCATGGAAATCCCAGGGTTTTTGCAGATCAATTCCACCTGCCCCACGCAGCTTGCCTTCTCAGGTTCCAACTTCAGGGTCTCCAAGGTGCCAGTGGAGAACTTGCTGACCTCGCGAAGCTGCAGACTCGGTAACATCCATCCCACCTTTTGGAGATTCTGAAGGAGATGCAACAGCCTTGACATTTTAGAACCTGAGATCCCGGAGATGCCTCACTCATATTTATCAATACTTATAATATTTGCTCACTACGTTCTTTGGAAAGTGCCACAAGTTTTGGAGAGTTCCACAGTTCCACATTAAATCTGTGCCCCGCTCCCTCCCGGATCAGCCTAGTTGGACCCTTCACCAGGGCACAGGGCTCTTGGGGTTGGCGCGAGATTTTAAGAGATGGATAAGCCGCCACGTGGTGTCCGCCATATTCCTTGATGGCGCCGGCTGGGGGATGGCACAAAGTCCAGTACTCCAACCTGGCACTGAGAACTTCGGGTTTTTCCATAGGAAAATGTCTTTTACATGAGCTTCCCAGGGCCATCTTGATGTACGGTGGCTAAACCCCGGAGAAAAAAAACATGGTGCATCCATGCCGCTTCTTGTGCTCCGAATCCACCGCATTCACCTCCTTGTCCACCATCTTCGGGGCAAAGGAGGGCTCAATGAAAAACCTTGGGCGGAGCGCCCATGCTGGGCATACACCAAGTGGTCTTTTGACCCCTTGAAAGGTTGACAAGCTGCAGAAATCTTGGTTGGAGATACGGTGTTTACCCATCTCAGCCCAACAATGACCAGAAATCTAGGGGCATAATGGGGCATAGCTAAACACCGCCAAGAGCAGAAGAAGCCTGTTAAACCCATGAATCATTGAAGGCAAATCCAACATTTACGCGCCTCGAACAGCGCTTCCCTTCAGAAACATCCTTTCCCAGTCAGCAACAGCGCTTGCTTCTCTAGATTCATGCCAATCTAATGACCAGCTGCTGCGCAAAAATGTCGAAAGTCTCGTCGAAGCCTTTATCATCAACCTACCCATGTGAGGCTTAACTGGACGCTTCGACACTACTCTCTCTGTGCCCTACCCCGCCATGAGCCTCCGCAAAGTACACCGTCTGATCGCTGGCAGTGTAAGCGTTGTTGGTGCCCCCATAGAAGGCAAGCCTTGTCGTGGGCAAATCTGAGATGCCTCGCCTTTTAGTTGGGCACCCCATGTCTGCCTATAAGAACTATAGAACTCATTGACCTACCCCAACCATGGTTGGGCTTCCAAATTGAGTTGGCTCTGTTTTGGAGGTGGGTTGATTGTGCACCGCCATGCCCAACTGCCATCCAAGCTGCTTGTCGGAGAACTCATCTTCCTTTGGATATTTCTTGGAACCCAAAAAGACCTCAACGATGGGCGATTCAGGATGCGGCAGGATGGGCGCAACCTAACTCACTCATATCTTATCATCACTGGTCATGTCGTCATCTCGTTGCTCAGCCCCTTCCCCAATTTACGTAAGCACCTTTATGGGTGATGTTCGCAGCACCTTTCTGGAGTTCCGAAATGTCGCAAGCCATCGAAGCCGCGACCACATATCATCACTCTGTTTTGTCAATCCAAAATCTCACTTGAATGCTATAAAATTGAAGTTTTCCCCAAAGATCAGCCAAATCAACCATTCTTGAGTCTTGGGTAGCAATTTCCATCAATCGCCATCGATTTCCATCAGCCAAGGGGCCATGTGTTCGCAGAAATGAGCTAAGCCTTGAAAGTCCTTGGGATCTTCCAGGCTCCCCACCTGCGACGAAACACCAAGTTCTTCAGCTAATGGGATCATTGCCCCAGCTTGAAACAAAGCATGGGATTTCCAAATCTTACCTTCAAAAATAGGACAAGATCATGTTCAGTGCAGGATCCACGAATCCACATGAAACAAACAGCTTTTTTTTCCTGCTTTTCTTTCCACTCTTCAAGCTGACCTCACATTTGAAACTCAAATAACTGTAACTTTGGATCCCATCCCACCCCAGCCCACCTCCACTGCCATGGCATAGCTGGACTTCTGAGCCTCTGGATCTTCCACCAGCAGCACTCGCAGCCCCGAACGCAACATCCGATGCTCATAGCGACGCCTGGGGCCATTGGGAATCCCAAAAAAGGGAGGGGTCCTGAAATGGGGGACCCCAAAACCATGGGTTTCAATACCTGAATTGTCTAATTATTAATTGGTTGGGTAAATCAATCAAGTTACCACCATTTTGGATGATTTGGGGTACCCCTGGCTCTAGTTTCGGAAAACACCATCTGGTGCTTTGACTTGGAGCCAACCTGACCGGAAGCAAGGAGAAATTCTGTTTGATTTCAACTTCCAAGGTCAAGTTTATAGGACTGACTTGATTCTGACTGGCTTATACTGTAATACTTGGGTTATCCCCATCATAGTACCTTGCACATACCTGAGTGATGTTTGGGGGCACTGTACGGTGCTCGTTTCAACTGATACGAATCACTTTGGTGTCCCCCTGATCCTTGCCCGTCACCAGCAGGATATCGGCTGTTGCTGGGGTGATAACCCAAGAGTTGATCACCTTTCAGGTGATGGCTTCAGTCCCGAACAATATGTAAATGTGTATTCTCTGTGTGTGTGTGCCTCTGTGTGTGTGTAATATGTGTATATATATGTATATGTGTGTGTGCGTATGTTATATATACTTATATATGTATTTAAAATTATATTTTTATTTAAATATATATCATATCATATGATACTATATTATATTATATTATGTTATGTTATAATATACTATGTTATACCATATATCATATCATATCATTTTATTTTATTTTATTTCATTTTAGTTTATTGTATTTATTTCATATATATATATATATGTCATATATGTATATATTGTTCTTGTACAATGGGGATAAATCTGAGGAACCCTGTGCAACTGATAGACACTGAATGTTTCTTCAAAGAAGATTGAGAGATTACTGGCAAAAAAAAACTTGGAGACCAAGCCAACAGACTTGGGGGCTTTGCCCATCATGATACAATGGCGTAGTCTCATTGCATACACGTACATCATGTGATATCATGTGTCTATCTCAACAGTATCAACCAGCTTGGCAGTTGGAAATGACCAATTGGCCACAACTGGCATCAACCAAGGCCGCCAAATGCAGCCGAGCTACTTGTCCATCTTAGGCTTGCGTACACCGGATTCATCCCGCGGTTCAGCCAAGGTCGACAGCTGCCCCTTGGCAGCCTGCCCCTTCGGCCGGAGGAAGGCCGCCTGCACTGGGCCCAACGTGACCTGAGGACATGGCAGCGAAGCTGGAAAACACCACATTCGAGGTACACGTGTAAGAAACAGCACCTATGAGTTGCAGAGCCCTGAATTCCCTTGTAAGCCGTCGAGACATGTGCCTGAGTGCCTGGAGGAGACATATATAATTATACAACAATAATTATTATTTAAGAATAATAATAATCATCATCATAATGATAATGATATGCAATTAGTATATGTATGTATACGGTAAATCATTTCAAAGATCTCAGCCGTGATGTTATTGAGCAAAGAAAAACATACTGCCAGTCACGAACGTGTCACTTTAGCCCTGGACCCAAAGCAATGCCAGCACTCTCATGAGTCTGGGGCCATGTGGGCAACCTGTTGGGAAGGCAAAGGGCAAAAGGAGATGATTGGAGTAATGCAAAGGAAACATTGAAAAGGGGGAAAAAAAAATGTTCGCTGACCATATCTCCGGGAGCCAATCCTTGCCATCCAAATATCTTCCCCCTCCTGGCCTCCAAGCTTCATTGATCAGAGGGAACCGCAGGGCGCCCCGTAAACCACGCAAGCGTTCGCGCGAGCGATTTCTCGCAGCGACTTGCGTGGCTTGAGCCAGGGAGGCATCGTTCATGGCATATGTCCAAGCATATGTATATGTGTATGTGAGTGTGCATGTATGCTCTGCATATGTATATATATATACTACACAATATATATATATATATACATTTATACATATTATATCATATATACATATATTAAATGTGTAGCTTGGGTATATTATACATATGTCATGTACATATCATATATACTGTGTAAGTCAGCGATTGATGTGTGATCCCATGGCCGGCCTTGGCATCCGGCGGTGCCACCACCTAACGCCGGCCAGTCCGTTGAACCGGTGCAAAATCAGTTCGAGGCTTTTAAGTGGGGGATATCCATATTTAAAAGTATATATAACATTATATAACCAAGAATATTTTAGATGTTGGTAAACATGTGTGTGTTTAACAACACAACATGGGGATTGAATGGGATGTGAATCATGGATAGAATGGGATATTGATATTATAAGACACTGTGTTCAATCTCTGTGTGTATGTTTCAAAATTGGGAATTCAAGCAGCAAAAATCGCATCTGCTTAAACCAACCACCATGGGGATATGTTACGGGATATTGATGAGATACGTGACCAGCACAATGATAGTTGGGGTCTGAAAATGGGGACACCCAAACGTCAGTTTTCATCGGACAAACAAGCCAAAAGCATCTTCAAAACCCTTCTTTTTCGGTGGATTCCATCTTAGACTTCAGGAGGATAGCAGCTGGGCAATATCAACTCTGAAATGTCCCACTGGTATTGGATGGTCAAAACATGTCAAAACCATGTCATCACCTGCTAACTCCCAGGATCGTCGGAGCATCAGAGAATTTGGGCATTTTTCGTGTCAATGAACCTTGGACTTGAAATGACTTGAATTAAGCTTCCGATTTTCGGGGGTCTACACAAGTGTTGCCCCGATTTTTGCTCCAATCAAAAATCTGTTGGGAGTTGCGTCAAGTTCACACCATCCGCACAGGGTTTTTGCTTAGTTGAATTCCTTGAGCTTCTCTGGGTGAAACGAAATGACTGAGACACCAACAGCATGGCACCCGGTGGCCGGAAGTGATGCAAAACAACGCAGAATCCAAATAGCCGTTGTCATACAACTCAAAGCCCGTGGTGCAAATTTCATGTTGAAACATGTTGAATCAAGAAAACTCTTCTTCTGACCATCTAAATATGCGTTTATATATATATATATATGTATATATCTCTCTCTCTCTCTCTGTGTAACCGTTCAAATCTCGAAAGCCTGGCATTTTCCACCACCTCTCAAGCCCAACTAGCGGCCCAAGGCGGTGCCCTAGCGCTCACATGCCGATGCCAAAGACCTGGACCACGCAGATCAGCGCCTTGTTCTCCCAGCGGTAGCTGGTGCCCGCATCGGACTCGGGGTCCCAGAAGGTGCTGCTGCTGGTGTGAAAACCGGCGCCCTTCTTTTCCATCAAACCTCTGGAAAAGAACAGCAACTGAAGTTACTGAAGTTTGAAAAAAAGGTGGTGGATCTTGAGCTGGGGCATATCGCACACATATATATATATAATCATGTGTATGTATATTTATATATATTATATATACTGTAAACATCTAAATAAATACCTATACATGAATGCCTCTATCTGTGTGCGTGTGCATAGACTTATACATTCACATCTATATGTTGATCATAAGGGCATCAACTCCAGGAGTATATCGGTGGTCAGCCAACTGACATCAGGTGGGAACGCTGCTTCTGCGGGATGCAGGAGGAAAAAACTATCCTCTCCCAACCCATTTCTTCCACCAAAAATCCGAACATCGAAAATCTACATGGTGCTGTCCAAAGGGCTGATATTCACAATATACTTGAAGTTCCCACTGAGTTCTTGGACCTTTTCCAGAACGGCAGCACCCAGCGAGTTGCACCATTCCTCCACCTGCTTGGGATTGTACTCCTTCACCGGGCCTAGGACCTCCTCGATGCACTGCGGCAGGCGCACGTTCACTTCATCCTTGATCCGCCCGAAGGAGGTCATGGTGTCCTCCCGCGGCATCGCGGACCCTGCCTTGAGCCAAGGTGTTCACCGGCCACCCGAATGCAGCAACGATTGAGGGGTCCCGACGTTGCTAGTGTCCTAGCAGGGAACCCTATTGTAAGTGGCAGTGTGGAAGAGCAAAGCATATCTGGCTGAGTAGGGTGCACCCATCATTGACCTGCAACATACGACTAGGTCTTTAATTAATTTCGCAGGTGTGTTTCTCAAAATGAAGGTACCGTGCCCTAAAAATTAAAAACATTGGTTTCCCGGCTTCCCAAGCATGAAAAATTACCAGATTTGAATGATTTGGGACTTTGGGACCCTCCCATTTCTAGAAAACCAAATGTCTATGTCTATGTCCCGACTTGGGCAACTTCTCAGACCTTCCGCAGAGGTAGAGGGGTGAAAACCATCCACACATCATCTTTCCAGAAGACTTCTAGGTGGACTTCAGTCTGCCGACAAAAGAAACAGCAGCGAAAAATAGAAATCATCCAAAAATCATCCGAAAATATCATCCTCTCAGGAAAATCACTATTTTTAATAGGTAAACCATCTAGAAATGGGCCATGTTCCATGGCTATGTTAAATAACCAGATGGTATCCGCAGAGGTCTCCTCCCTTCGGCTCCCTTCGGCTCCCTTCGGCTCCCTTCGGTCCCCCAAGGTCCCGACCCAGGCTTTAGCTCCGGACAGCTGGGCGAACCAGTTCTCCTTGGGATGCCCCCAAAGACCCAAAGAAAAGGGGGACACTAAATGTCAAACAAAGAAAAAGGACCAAGGGGAAAACGATATATCAAGATACAAGAACCATGTGCCTGAAATGTTGTGCCAAGCCATAGCTATCACCCTGTGCCCCTGAGGCCGCAACCGGGTGCTGATGAGGCGGGGAGGATGCATTAGCACCTCAGGTATCCAGGTGGAAATTTGTGAAACCAAACATCTTTGTAAATATGCCAAATCAATCTCAATGCCTACACCTTACCTCGTACTACCCCATATTTAGAGATGGAGCGAGACAAACAGAGATATTCCTATGCAGATATAGACATAAACACCATATATGTATAGATGGAGAGAGAGAAAGAAAGAAAGAAAGAAAGAAAGAAAGAAAGAATCATGAAAAAAACATGAAAGAAAGAATCATGAAAGAAAGAATCATGAAAGAAAGAATCATGAAGATGTAGAAGATAAGGACATTACATCAAAAATGGTCATTTACCAATTTATTTTGAAGAATATAGTGTATATACATGTTACATAATATATATATACATGCATACATACACACACACATATATCTATCTATCTATCTATCTATCTATCTATCTATCTATCTATCTATCTATCTATCTATCTATCTAATCTATCTATCTATCTATCTATCTATATATCTATCTATCTATCTATCTATCTATCTATCTATCTATCTATCTATCTATCTATCTATCTATCTATCTTATCTATCTAATCTATCTAATCTATCTAATCTATCTAATCTATCTAATCTATCTAATCTATCTAATCTATCTATCTATCGATCTATCGATCTATCTATCTATCTATCTATCTAATCTAATCTAATCTAATCTAATCTAATCTATCAATCTATCTATCTATCTATCTATCTATCTATGATTATTATGTCATATTAAAACATCATAGTTACATAACCACTGGGGATCCCCCTGGGCCCCCAGCTGCCCAAGCTCACCGTGGGCCCGGTGAGTTGGATCGGCCGCAAGTACTCCGGGAGCTTCAGGGCTGACGGGAACATCCCATGGACGCCATGCAGGACTTTGGGGTCCGAAGATCTTAGGATCTTCCAATTGATCTTCAGAAGTAAGAGGAACAAAACAGTGTATATATATATATAAAAGGAGGGTCGAGTCATCTCTGAGGTTCGGAAACTGATTTTTGCAAAGTCAATGTCGGACCTCGCCTTCTCCCCAGGCTTGCGCCGCAGGATGCGATGGCTTCAGGAGGAACAGGGTGGACTCAGCGGGGCCAATGTTCAAACACTCTGTCTAGATTGTTCCTGCTAGTTTATTAAGAGATATTAAGAGTAGGACCATCATTCTTCAACTTGATTCTTACCCACTATTCTCCAAGAAGATCCACTTAATCATCAATTCATCGCTATGAAATGATGTTTCTTCAAAATTAAACCAAAAAAACTCATCATCCACTAACGAAATGATTGAAAAAAAACACACACATTTTGAAAACCCATCCACTAACATCACCATAAATATCATCATCATCCACTAACATCACCATAAATAGATCATGTAAACCATCCCCAAATGGAAGGGTGCTTCACCAGGTGGCATCGCGAAGCCGCAGCACAGAGGACAGCAACGTGGCCTCGCCCAAGCCCGTCTGCATGGGCCTCAGGGTGCATCGATAAGGGGATTTTCTCATAGGGTTATAGTATCTGTAAATGGCATGTGCATTCTATGTTGTATCTGTTGTATATTGTGTTGTGCATGTTGTATAATAATATATCATGTTGTTATGTGTATGTATGTTACAAATAAATAAATAAATAAATAAACAAATAAACAAATTGATTAATTAATTGATATACGTATATATATATATATATGAAATCGCCCAGACAATAATTGAAGAGGTGTTCATTGAGATACAGTAGTCACTAGGGAACTGCTTGTCATTTTGGATCATCATCCCAAATATCGTCGGCCTCCTGGGGCCCAATCGACAGTGGCATGGGTGCTACTGCCCCTGTATGCTGCCGTGATGAAAGGCACATGCCTCAATACTACATCAGGCGGAGCAGCTTGTTTTGCCACGCACATGGCACGCAACACAAGCGGTCCCGCTTAGGAAGCTTCACTTCCTCCATGCTCAAACTACTAGCAAAGAGCTAGAAAGGGAACAAAAAAAACACCCGAACTAATGGTGGCCTAAATGGCAGCCTCCAGAATTGGGATGGCCATCCTATGTACAATAAACCAGCGATGAAGCTTCATAGGATCAACAGGTCGGTCCAATAAGCGATGAAATCACCTCGCTGCTGGCAGAGAAACTTTCAGCCGGCATGAACCAAGTACAAGCAGCACTTTGCTAAGACAACCAGTAATCATGACAGGAATGTTTTTGTACGTACCAAAAAACAAACACCAGACACGACAAGATTCGCAACCGCAACTGAGCGCATGGCCCGTGTGATTGTAGAGCAGCAGGTACTTCACAGCATCACACTCGGGATTTGCAAAGGGCATCTGCTTCTGAACCAGCTGGTCCTCCCCCTCCACCCTGATCTCCACAGCACGTTTCTCCCAATCGAGCTTTAAAATCAATGTGAGCCACTCCCCATCCTTGGATTGGCTTGACAGACTAGGAATTTCTCGTTGAAGATCAATAATTGCAATGATCTATCCCCATCACGATGCATTTGAAAAAGATTATATACCCAGGAATTTCAGGCAAGATCGTAAACTCGTTGAGCGCATCAGTGTAGCGCGCGTGCAGCCCAGGACATCTAACCCCGGCCCAAAAAGAAATTGTTAAAAATCCCAGAATAGCCTAGTTTCCTATGTCCAGTCGAATTTCCCATGAAGAAACAGCTCCAAAAATGTACCAATCAACTCCAGGCCTCCCTCCAAGCTGCCAAGGGTTCGCTGGACCAGGACTTGGCTCCCAAGATCTCCCTGCTATTCCCATCCCTCACGAAGCTCATCAGCACCGCGGGCCGCTCGGGTCCCTTGTCGTTCCCCAGGCCATGCGCCAGCGCCAGAACGGCGCCTGCGCGGTGCGGCCGGAAGGCGGAGGCCTTGCAGCGATAGGCCACCAGCCGGGGACGGCACCGGCCACGCAGCGTGTAGACCAAGCCACTGGGGGCGTAGTCCGTCAACGGGTCCTCGTTGGAAAGGCACAGACATCAATGGCCCAAGGGGATGCAGGACTTACCTGCGGCGTCAAAGCGGACTGAAAAAGTAGATCAGGGAAGAAAGATGCGACGCAAGAAACACAAAAAAAAAATCGAATGCTGCAACTAAACCCTCCTAGCTCTCCTTTTCACACCTCTTTAGTTGGGCCCGCACAAAGAGGGAAAAAACGGTATATATGAAGTAGGTAATAAAAATCACCTATAGGTAAGATTTATGTAGATAGAAAAAATATAGATAGACAAATAGACAGATAGCCAAATAGACAAATAAGACAAATTCGACAGATTCCACAGATTCCACAGATTGGACAGATGAACAGATTGGACAGATGGACAGATTGGACAGATTCGACACATTCGACACATTCGACACATTCGACACATTCGACACATGCGACAGATTCGACACATGCGACAGATTCGACAGATTAGACAGATTCGACAGATTTTACCGATTAGACAGAGTAGACAGATTTTACCGATTAGACAGAGTAGACAGATTTTACCGATTAGACAGAGTAGACAGATTAGACAGACTCGACAGATGCGACAGATTGGACAGATTTCACAGATTTCACAGATAGGACAGATACGACTAAGACGGATAAGACGGATAAGACGGATCTGGATAAGGAGGTGGATAGGAAGGTGGATAAGGATAAGGATGTGGATAACAAGGTAGATAACAAGGTGGATATGATGGTGGTTGAGATGCTGGATAAGATGATGGGCAAGATGATGAATAAGATGGATGAGATGGAACAGATGGAAAAGATGGAAAAGAAAGATAAGAAAGATAAGAAAGATAAGAAAGATAAGAAAGATGAGAAAGATAGAAAGATAGACAGATAGACAGATAGACAGATAGACAGATAGACAGATAGACAGATAGACAAATAGACAGACAGATAGATAGACAGACAGACAGATAGATAGATAGGTAGGTAGGTAGGTAGGTAGACGATGTTTTTTAGACAATTTATGTTTAGATCGGCATATTCATATAAATCTTGTTCTGTCATCCCATCCCATCCCATCTCAGCCCATCGGATCCCACCCTGTCTCTGCTGCGTGCTGCGCACCACCCGCATCAGCCGTGGTGGCACCTCAGTGCCTGGGCCCAGGCACCAGGTGCCTTCGCCGCTCAGTGGCAGCACCTTCTGATGCACGTCATCCAGCAGGGTGCCAGGATCCCAATGGGCGAAGTTTTCGAAGAGCTTGGCCTCCTGGGATCTGTTAATGGGGATCAGGATTGGATAAAATTGGGATGAAATTTGGATGAAATGATGAAATCAGGATTTAAAGCACCAAGTATGGTGACACCGGGTTCTTCAAAAAAAACAGCCATCAACCAAAAAGTTTCAACATGCACCGGAAGCCCCCGGATCCCCTGTATCAATGTTGCTAACCATCGCTTCTAAATGGACGGAGCAAGAATGACTGTTTTTGTTGAAGGCTCCGCCAAGCACTGCTTTCACACAAGATTGAAATTGGGGGATCAGGGGTGACTTACTGTCCTCGCTAGAATTCAAGTTGGTTGGCTGTTTTTTGGAAGAACCCGGTATCAGGAACAAAATGGGGATATTAATCACCAAAAGTGATTGTAGTGAGATAAGATTGGAATTAAACTAACCAACAAAAAACAAGGGCCCGTTCTGGCCGTATGAACCACCAACATCCACTAATAATGGCGAATCTCGAAAAATCTCTCAATAGGGTGGCGGTTCACCTTTCGGGGTGGTTGAATCACCGCGATATCAATGGTGGGCTGAACCAGGTGATATACCAAACTTGACCAAGATGATATGATTGATCATCAACAAGAATTGGGGGGTTGAGGTAAAACAATGAGGATCGCACAACTAAAAACAAGTGAACTTTGCTGCAAAAGAGACTCCAATTGGAGCCTTAGGCAACCAAATGGGAGATCTACTCAGTCAAATGGGGATCAAGCAACCAAAATGGGAGCAATGATCATGGCCCAAATTGCTAGCCCAACCAATTCCAGACTTTGATCACCTATTGCTGTTGAACGGGTCATTTGTTGGCCAGTGCATGCCTGCCATATGTCGCAGTCTGAAACCTTGCCGCGCAAAACATGGAAGAAATACCATGCCTCATTTTCCCATCTGGGCGTGGTTGATACCTTCCAAAATTAGGGCGCATGGTGTATAGCAAAAAACTGATAGAACAGTTGGAAACCTGACAACTTACAAAGTGAACATCATCTTCAACACCCTCACAAGTGCTGATGTTCCATCTCTTGGTGATTTATCTAGTCTTTGCGGCTTTGCCACCTGAAACCATCCGAAATCTCCCATCCCAACCTCCATCACCGGCAGGAAGCGCAACACCTCCGCTTTCTCTGCCCGACTCAGCAAGGCGAAGGGCGCCACGGGCGCCACCCTGAGGCGCTGCGGTAGCAGCTGGAGGCCCAGGACACGCAAGCTACGGCTGGAGGAGGACAAGTGCAACAGGTCACGGGCCAACAAATAGAGCCAAACCTCCAGAAATGGCTTGGGAACGGAAACTAAAGAAGTAGCTAGGCCTAAGCATCCCCAGTTTTAGAAAATACGGCTTCGCTTCATCTTTTTGGAGGATTCTTCCAACATCCGTTTGGAGTCACACGTAGATATTACCACGGCCCAGCCTGCAGGAGATAGGTTCCCGTTTCATCGCAGAGAACCGCTACAGAAGGACCCTCCATGGCCCATGGTTCAGGCCAGCGGCCATGTCCAGTCGGACATTGGGAGGCCGCTTGAGAGACCAAGGAGACTAATTTGTGTAGTTTAACCTTTCCGGTGCCAAGAATCAAATTGGGTGAACCAAGTTGGCAACCCCAAGCAGCTGGGAACAGCTGTCGCATATGTCAGATGGATGCCGGATGCATCATCTTTATGCTTTTTTGGGGGGACCTAAGTCTGACTGAGGGAACCTGTTGACTGCCATAATTCTTCTGGAGTCTGCGGCATGTGGCCTGGAGAACAGCTACGCTATTGGTTGCCGACCTGAACCCAGTGACGCTGCCTGTTTGGAATTCAGTTGCCATCGCCATTCTTTCAACTCAAAAATGTGGCTTGCAACCACATGGGCATGGATCAATGTAAGACCTAGGCACCCACAGATGTTTGCAATCTTTAAGCCCTATGTGATTTCATCTAGTTATCCATGTTTGCATTACCTGGTTGTGAGCATCCCCTCTCCCCGATTCCAATGCTAGGAAGCCCACCGGCTAGTTCCTGTACTGTAGCGATAGACCACCACCTGCTGGGACCTGGGTACCAGTGAGAACTGCTGGAGGTTGGAGTTGGCTACCCAGTGGTATGTTTATCGATGATTCTCTGGAATCAACATGTTCCATCCATGGTACTTGGTCGATGTACATGTCACTCACCTATTTAGTGGCAGTTGATTCCGAAGGATGAGCCACCCTGACGCACAACCCTACCACACATTGAACGTAGCATCAGCCGATATCTTCTGCGACACGCACGCGAAACGAACGTTGACACGCCCGCCCGCCCCTGACAATCCTGACACCCAACCCTGATGAAGCGGACATATGCGTCTATATGAATGCACTGGGTCGAAAAGAAGACCAAAACGGTGGTCGAAAACTAGCACAACTACACGTTCGGTTTTTGACCCGGTGGAAAAAACATACTAATCAAAATCATAATATGGATGCCGTTATTTATGTGTCTTGTACTCATTTAACGGTTTCTTTGGGAGTTTAACATCCCCATCTCTTGAACAAGTTCGATGCATACCCTCCCCCACCAACCATGAACCAGGCTCCCAAACTGCACGGTAGATTCACCGAAAGAGGCTTCCAGCAGTTCGTGGTCCCATCCTGCGCGATTGTTTGGATCAGAAAACCACCTTTTTTTTATGGGAGAACCATCATTATTCATAGGTAACCCATTTACAACAGGGCCATTTTCGGTAGCAAACTGTTAGATCACTAGAGGGCAAGTAATGCAGGGGAATATTGCCCTCGACCGTCATCAAACATGGCTAAAAAATCCCCCACATAAAGTTCAATGATGTTCTCGTTAAAGCACCTTTGAGATAGGAATGTCCAGCTAGCCACGTTCGACTACCAGAGGGCATCCTTCAAAACGATCATCTTCTTGGTGGTTGATGGGAAACCCAGGGGCCACTGACTTTGGACACGAATGACGAGAGATAACGCAAAGAAAGAAAAGATGGGCGGTCATCGCTTCTGTCAGGAAAGTCATGATCATCCTCAGCTATGTATGAGTTATGATCATGATATTTACACACCAGTACATACATATATCATATGTTTAGTGTAGATGTAATATTATGTGTATATAATAGATATTATATATATAATATATTATACATATTATATATTATACATATATATTATACATATGTATATATATATATATATATATATTGTGAACAATTTTACCCTTGTTCTAGGTGTTGCCAAATGTAGTTTCGATGCCTGCTTTGCTGGTTAACCGAGTCCCGTGATGGCGCGGCAGCGACAGCACGATTTGTTTTCCTTCAAGGGGCGCTTGAGCCACAAAGGGCGTTTGAATGTATGTTGGTATGTGCATATGATACATGCACCTAGCGCCTGGTTCCCTTTGACACCCCCCATGCCCGTGGTATTCTTCGAACCACGGACACGAGAGAGGGAACTTTTGAATTAGAATGTCTCTGCTACCTGAATTACGCCTATGTACATAAAACAAGCCATTCGGCTCCCCCTTCCCCACATACCCGAAGGGAATAATGGTTCAGGGTTCGCCTACTCTATGGCTGTCGATGCATCGGCGCTTCGTCAAGCTGTACAACGCGAATTATTGCTAGCTAACATCTACTTTTCTACGTTGGCTAAGCTTGCCACTCACCCGTCGGGAGAAATGGGTCACTTCGCTACCAAAGATTTACGATGCTAACTAACGAATTCACGTGCACATTGCAGAATTTTCGTGCAGATTGGGAATATCAAAAAGTCTTGAACCTAAGCGAATTAATCTACTGCCTCGCTCAGAGTCCACTCAGTTGGTCTTTTCCTGATCATCTGTTTACAAAGACGATACACATCTTGTAGTCCAGTGACCATTTTGATGGACAGAGGTAATAAGTTCACTGCTCACGGCGGACTTTCTTCCATTGAGGTGTTGATGGAGTTTTCTCCCATCCTGCCGCACGTTTCGGAGCAGCTTTCGGCGATGAGGGCTTCGCAGGCGGTGCCTTTGATGGTTCATGGGATTTTGGCATAGCTTTAGCTTTTGGCGCGCTTGCCGATGAGGATGATGCTGAACCAGTTCCTTCAGGTTTCTGTGAAGGTTGTGCTGATGATTTGGCTTTCGCGTCTGCGGTAGCAAACTTGGAAGCGGCAGTATGTCCGACTGCTTTGAATACTTCACTTACCACTTCGTCGCCAAGAGTTGGAGCCATCTTCGTTTTCATCTCGGTCTTTCCCCTCTGCGCCTCTGCTTCAGCTAGTTGAATAGCATAAGCCATCTTGCTGACAAAGTTTTGAGGTAAAGGAATGCCACATTGTTGGGCTGCAAAGAGTAGTTCCACTTTCTGTTCCTTTTCTCTCAGACTCAGATATACCGAGAAAGCTGGGAGTTCAATGCAGTTGGGGAAGCCGTGGCTCCCGGAGCGAAAGAAGGTGTATGATTCGTGTTCTGGAAAGGTTCCTTTCAGCAGTCGTCGAAGAAAATTGCTGATGGTCACTCGCATCTCCTGCTTCCCTTGGGCATCGGCCTGCATTCGGTTCATTGGCATGAGGAAACCCAATGATTCGGGAGTGTACCCGGCGCATACCAGAAATTCCATCATCTTTTCATAGATCTCCAAATTCTTGATGACAGGCATCATCATGTTTCTTGGTCGTCCTGAGTACATCTTCTCTCCCTCTGACCAGGAGTTCCTTTTCCCTTTCTCCTGAAAGAGTTCATCCAGTTCCAGCTCTGTCGGCCGCTTGAGGTTGCCGTCCGGGTCTTCGCCTGTGTATGGGCAGAAGTCGTCCAGGTCCAGCCGGACTCGCCTGGTTTCCGTCATCATCACATGGTACTCCTCTGGGGTCATAGTGACTCTCTGGTTATAGTAGTGCCTGAACATTGTGATGACCTTTGACATGACAGCATTGTCATACAAGTGAGCCGCGGCCTCGGAGACATCATTGTTGATAAGTCCGTCTTCTGGCATACCCTTGCTGCCGCTCTCAAGATTCTTGGTCCATGCTGGAAGTTTGGTAGAGGGCTCATCATCAGGTTCGACGTCCATTTCATCATCGTCTTCTTCAATGATTTCGTCTTCTTCCTGTTGAGCTTCCTCCTCCTGATCCATTTCCTCATCGTCGCCTTCATTGTAGTCGACCTCGTCAGGATTGAAGCCATAGTCGTTGGATTCGGATACGTTTTCTTGTGCTTGATTGACCGTATCCTTGAACAACGATTCTTCTTGTCGACGAACTTCTTCATCGAGCTCTTTCTTTGTGGCCTCATCTTCATCGTCTTCAGGAGCTTGTAGCCGATATGGACGAATCCCGCAACTTTCAAGTTCTGTCCAGCAAACTAGACACACTGCTAGCTTTGTCGGCGTCTCATTGATACAGTGAGGACAATGGCGGCAACCTGAAGTTTGCACCCTTTTGCGTTCGACTATGTAGTCAATCAGCTTGATGCGGGCCAGGTATTGTTCTTGTCCGCCAGGCTCGATGAGGTTGTTCTTGAATTGGTTGACGATGTTCATGGCATCCATGGCAATCTCGTCAAACGGTTGGTCTTCGGCGTCGATGCACTGACTTGCAACTCTCAGGATGGACTCCTTGGTGGCTACCGTTCTTGATTTGATAGTTCCAGACCGGACTACCTGGTCGTCGCCCGAAGGGACGAACAACCGGAGCCATGTCTTGTTGTACTGATCCTTGGGGTCCTGAATCCATCCTCCTTTGATTGCTGAAAATGGGATGATCCTTGGTGAAACGATCTGTCCTGAGTCAGTTAGTCGACCGCCATATTCCACCATCAAGGTCTCGGTCGGGATGAACAAGCATATGTAGTCACCCTTACGCGTATCAACGCTCTTCGTGATGGTCCATGATCTGTGATCCCATGGGACGTACGGGTTGAAGAACGTGAACATCCGATGACCTTCTCCAAGACCTCCTGGAATTAATCCTTGCCTCCAGATGCTTCGGAGGTTGGTCTTCTTGGTGATGTGGAAACAAACCGGTAATGACAAAACAGTGTTGGGTGCGATTGGATGCGAAAGCAGCGAGGACAGCAATGAAACGTCGTCTCTTGAAGATCCTTCTTTGTGCCCCGTAGGAGCACGAACCGCCACTGGATAGAGCAGTAGACCTTCATCAGGGATGTGCGTATCCGCATCGACATTGTTGTCAATGCACGTCAGGCTGCGGCGATCAATATCCTTGTTGATCCCAAATGCCAAAACTTGTTCACGCACACGACGTCCATACCTGGCACAGTGGAACATGATCTTGAAGAGCAATGTCATGCGAAAGTTCGCCTCATTGACATTCCATGCACTCTGATCATTTGCTCTTCCCTTTGGGGCAAGGAATACGTGTGGCCAGCGTGCATAATCGTGCCTCCAGATGGACTCACATTTGAGCACTTCCTCGATGGGCACCCAGCCGGCGTCATCACAGGGCAGACTCTGCTGCTCTGATACCTTCCCCACATTGTG